GGGGGGGTGAGTGTAGAAGACGGGTTTCTAGGATATACCCTTTGGTCGGAAGATGATGCATGGAGGGGACTGGAACCATGGCAATGAAATTATATACGATGGAATGAATGTAAAACTAAAGTTCTCTCATGTAAACTATCATATAATTCACAACAAAACATTAAAAAAAAATCGCTATCAAACTATCCTTTCATGACCATCTTTGTAAAAAAAAGTTTTATTAAGGTATGCTGTTGTTGAGTGTGGCCAAGTCGGTTTTGACTCATAGCGAACCTGTATAGGGTTTCCAAGGAGTGGCTAGTGGGTGTGAACTGACAACCTTATGGCTAACAGTCCAGTGCTTACCCTATAGCGCCATACCAGAAGTCCTTATACTTTAATAAGTATAAATAAAAATAAAGTATAATTTACATAAAATTCATCCGTTGAAAGTATACAATTCAATGATTTCTAATGAACCCAAAGAATTCTATAACTATAATCTAGTTTTAGAATATTTTTATCATCCAAGGAAATTCCCTTGCACCTGTTCAAATGATCAATTTTCCCTGACACAGGACAGAAACTCTTACTCAATTTCCCTGCCAAAACAATCTAGAGGGCAGTTCTAAGAGCTCAGCAAAAGGAACCCGAGTACCTGGCTTCTGTGATGGCAGAGAGTGATTCCGTTTTTAAGAAAGATTTCTCTTTCTTTTTCCTTCCTTTAAATCTTTTCTGGACAACTTGTCAATTCCAGATATTATATAGTAGTTTGTTAACTATTCAATTCTATTTCAGATATCATTCGTTTATAGAAATGGAATAAATTGCAAATCCAAACTTGGTTAATCTAGAAAATTATTTTAGGGATTGCAATTAATCAAATAAATCTGTATTTAATAGGTGGCAAATTATTCTCCTAGTAGAATATGGCAAAGAAAAATTATAGTAACAGCTTTCATAGGAATAAAGTTAGGGTCAGAGAAATGAATTACCTCAGAAAAAAAGCCACTATATTTTGATGACGGGCCTTCTGTCTGTGAAGAGCCAGAATCACTGGAGTTAATCACATATGTTCGGCTATCACGGTGTAACTTTTCAGGCAGGTGACCTGCACAAGCCAGTTCATTTTCTTTATTTGCCATGACACAGACCCCACTTCTACGGGACTGTTTCTTTCTGTAACAAGGACTTGGAAAAGGATGATAAACTTTCTTTCTGCAATAGATCACCTTATGTGGTTTATCTGGGCTCTTCACAGCTTGTCCAACTGTTCTGTAAGAAGAATTGATTTTTTTTTAATGAAAAACAACCACATAAAAACCTTTTAAGGTGTTTAAAACAGATTTATTTCATAGGGCACATTTTGTGGTCAAAATCCACTAAAATTAGAAGAGAATTTTAAAAAATTTTAACCTTAACATCAATAAAAACAACAAAAGGAAAGTTACAAACGGTCTGAAAGGCAATGAAAAGAATGAGACTTTATATCAAATGAAAATGATGAGACATATAATAACCTAGATACTTTTAAAATAAAATATCAAAGGTCATCCTGGGAGTAAGAAAAGTCTACCAACTTCTCATCAGCTAACTTTTTCACATAAATACATAATATTGTGCGTGTATGAATATTTAAAAATGTATTTTAATGAATGGAAATATTTTAATTTTGTTTGAGTAACATAAAACACAACATAGCAATTCTTATCCGTCACTCTGTTGTACTGTGTTGTCCTGCCGAGTGTTACTATGGTGCTGGAAGCTATACCACCAGCATTTCAACTACGGTTACCCAGGGTGAACGGGTTTCAGCAGAGCTTCCAGACTAAGACAGGCTAGAAAGAAGGACCTGATGATCTACTGCCGAAAAAACTGGCCAGTGAAAACTTTATAAATAGCAGAATACTCTCAAATATAGTGACAGAAAATGAGTTCCTCAGGTTGGAAGGCACTCAAAATATGACTGGAGAAGAGCTGCCTCCTCAAAGTAGTGTCAACCTTAATAACATGGATGGAGTAAAGCATTTGGGACCTTCAACTGCTTATAGGGCACAATTCAAATTGAGAAGCAACAGATGTAAATATCCATTAGTAATCAGAACACACAATGTACAAAGTATGAATGTATGAAAACTGGAACTTGTCAAAAATGAGATGGAACATTTGGGGTGTGGGCAAGGGAGAAATCTGTGTAATGTATACACCCACACCACCAAGGTGGGCCAAACAGTAACCACACTACTCTTCTAAAAAAAATTTTTTTTTAAAATAAATGAGATGGAACAATAAAGATTGCTATCGTTGGCATTAGTGAGCTGAAATGGACTGGCACTGATCATTGTGAATCAGACCAGCACATGGTGTACTACACTGGGAATAACAGATTGAAGAGTTACAGAGTTGCGTTCATAGTAAAAAAAAAACCAAACATTTCTAGGTCTATTCTGAAGTACAATGATGCTAATGATAGGTCGATGTTCATCAATTTCAGGAGGCCGAATATGATCAAGAACTGATGGTATTAAAGGATGACATGCAAGATGCACTGAAGGCACTGGCAAAAAGCACGGCCCCAAGAACTGATGGAATATAACTTGAAATGTTTCAACATATGAATGCAACTCTGGAAGCACTCTCTCGTCTATGCCAAGAAATTTGGAAGACAATTACCTAGCTAACCAATGGAAGAGATCCACATTTATGTTCATTTCAAAGAAAAGTGATCCAAAAGAATGCAGACACTATCAAGCAATATCACTAATATTACAGATAAGTATAATTTCACTGGTGATAACTTAATGGTTGCAGTAATACTTTGGATAGGGAAATGTTAGAAATTCAAGCTGGATTCAAACGAAATGAGAGCTATCACTGCTGATGTCAAATGGATGACGGCTGAAAGCAAAGAATACCAGAAAGATTCTTGTTTGCCTGTATTTAATTGACTAGGCAAAGACATTCGATGGTATGGATCAAAACAAATTATGGAGGACACTGGAAAGGGGAATTCCAGAATACTTAATTTGCTCATGTGGAAACTGTACACAGATTAAGAGTCAATCGTTCAAAAACAAGGAAATAATGCCTGGTTTAAAATCTGGAATGGTTTGCGTCAGGGTTGTATTAGTTCACCATATATTTATTCAATTTATGTGAGTAAATAATTTGAGAAGCTGGATTATAACTGGAGCAAGACTCATTAACAAGGTGCAATATGCAACATTTTGGCTGAATGTGAAAGGCCTTGAAGCACTTGTTGATGAAGAGCAAGGACCACAACCTTCCATATAGATAGATTTTACCTCAACATAAAGAAAACAAAAATCATCATATTGGACCAATAATAACAAAATAATAAATCGAGAAAAGAGTGAAAGTGTCAAGGATTTCATTTTACTTGGATCTACAATCAACGCCCATGGAAGTAGAAGTCAAGAAATCAAAAGATGTATTGTATTGGGCATCTACGGCAAAAGACCCCTTTAATGTGTTAAGAAGCAAAGAGGTCCCTTTGAGAACTAAGGCAAGTGTAACTTAAGCCATGGAGTCCTGGCGTGGCACTGTAGGTTAAGCACTGGATTGCTAACCCAAATGTTGGTGGTTCAAATCTACCAGCCACTCTTCAGAAATCCTATATGGCACTATGAGTCACTTAACAACAACAACAACCCAAGCCATAGTATGTTGAATAGTCTCATATGCAAGCAAAAGCTGAATAGTAACAAAGACTGGAAAAGAACTGATGCCTTGAATTATGGTGTTGACAAAGAATATTGAATATATCATGGACTAACAGAAGAATGAACAAATCTATGTTGGAAGAAATACAATCAGATGCTCCTTAGAAAAAAGGATGGGAAATTTCATCTTATGCACTTTGGACACGTTATAAGGAGTTACCAGTCCTTGCAGAAGGACATCTTATTGGTAAAGTAGAGGGTCAGTGAAAAAGAGGAAGACCCTCAACAAGATCACCTAACACAGTGGCTGCAACAATGACCTCAAACACAGTAAGCATTGTGAGGATGGTGTAGAACCAGACAGTATTTCCTTCTGTTGTACATTACAGGGTCATTGTGAGTTAGAACCTACTTGACAGCATCTAACGAGAACAAAGGTTTTGTCTCAGAACACTTTAAGTATATATTCCAAAATTTAAAAAGAAAAAGGTGAGAAAATGGCTTTGTTTTATGTTTTTGCAAATCTCTAGTATCTGGCTTAACAGAAGAAAACTAGACTCTTAACATATACTTCTGCATTTAGTCTTACTGTGATATCAAATGTCATGCAAACTCTGGAAAATGGTACAGTTCACTTGTAAGATAATAAAAATGAAGAAAGTGAATTATGTTTTAATATTATTATGAAAATAGTCTTAATCTCACAAACTCCTTGAAAGGCACTCAGAGATCCCGGTATCCTTAGGTCACTTAGAGAAAGACGACCATTTTCATACTTTCTGGATGCATGATGTTGCTATTGTTAGCTGCCATGAAGTCGGCTCTGACTTGTAGTGACCTTATGTATTACAAACTAAGTTATACATAAGGCTTAGTCCTTCGCCATCTTTGTGGTCACTGGCATGTTTTGGCTGTTGTGCCAATCCATCTCACTGAGGATTTCCTTTGTTTCCACTGACCTTCTACTTCACCAGCTATGATACCTTCTGTATAAGAGGATGAATGTTGGCCAGCCCTGCACCATCTTCATGATCACTGGTCTTTTGAGTCCATCGTTTTTGGTTATCCTGTCAGTCTATCTCATTGAGAGTTTCCTTCTACTTTTCACTGACCTTCTACTTTATCACCTATCACACCCTTTTCTTGATATATGAGAGACCTTCAAGAAATTTGTGGAAAAATACAATGAAAAGATAACGGAAAATTTCTACAAACTTTTTAAAGCCCCGGGCAAGGTTAGCACAGTGCCTGGAACACAGGAATTGTGTTACAAAAGGTACCTATTATTACAATAAAAAAAGAGTAAAATATTTTTTTCTATATTCACTTTTTCCCAGTTTTCAATATTTTCTGTTTCCGACAACCTTTAAAGTCACTCTTACCTATTTATGTAAGCAGCCAACTGTTTTGGAGATTTCTTAACCTGAAAAATGCAAGTAGTAGCACATTTAGTTCCTTAATATAAACTTTACGATTTATATTAATCTAAAATCCAACAGTTATAGTTTTCAGACTAAAGCTTTCTCTGTTCTAATGCTGTTTGTTGTTGTTGTTAAGTGCCGTCGAGTCGGTTCCGACCCATAGCGACCCTGTACAGGGTTTCCGAGGGTATAAATCTTTACGGGAGTAGCTGTAGTCTCAATTATTAGTTACTACCACGGTTCATATAAGTATCCTATGTAGGTATATCCAACACTCTATTTTCCATGCTACTAGTGTGGTCGCTATGGGTCGGAACCGACTCGACGGCACTTAACAACAACAACAACAACAGTGTGGTGCCACAGGATAAGCACTTGATTTCAAGGTTGGTTTGAACTGCAAGTTCAGCAGTTCAAACTCATCAACCACTCCTTGGAAACCCAATATAGGGTCGTTATGAGTCGGAACTGACTCGACAGCACTGAACAACAACAGCAAGTTAAAAATTGACTCCTGGTATGGCGCTACAGGAACCGCCTATACAGGGTCACTAGGAGTTGAAACAGACTCAACAGCATTCAACAACAAGACACATATTATACTTAGTGGGTGCTTACTAATAAGTGAGTTGAATTTTAATATGAATTAAAAGAAATTGGTCAGTTGGTTGGTTATGTGCAGTGGAGTCAGTTCTGACTCACAGAGACCCTGTATAGGGTTTCTGCGGCTGTAAATCTTTACAGGAGCAGAAAACCTCATCTTTCTCCTACGGAACCGCTGGTAGTTTCAAACTGTTGACCTTGAGGTTAGCAGTCCAACTCGTAACCACTACGCTACCAGAGCTCCTATAAAAGAAATTACATTAGTGTTAATGAGTCTTACAATGCTGAACGCTACAGAAATCTCTCCTTAATGATTAAAGTATTCAATTTTTATCCTATCAAATAGTATGTTGGGCCAAGTTTTTAGAGCTTTAAGAATAAAAATGATTTTTAACATTTCACTAATTCTACTTAATGCTTGTTGTTGTTGTTGCTGTTTAGTGCCATCGAGTTGGTTCCAAGGCTTTACGGGAGCAGAACGCCTCATCTTTCTCCCGCGGAGCAGCTGGTAGTTTCGAACTGCTGACCTTGTGGTTCGCAGCCCGATTCGTAATCACTACGCTAGAATTATTACTTCTAAAGTTTCAATAATTTCATCAGAACTATCTGTTAATGCGGTGGACTGCAGAGTCATTTGAACTGCAAGGTTGGTGGTTCAAGCTCACCAGCCACTCGTTGGAAACCCTATACAGGGCCGCTATGGGTAAGAACCGACTTGACAGCACCGAACAACAACAGTCACAGCCCTGACCGTTTAAACTGTCTTAACTAATTACTTAGAAACCATGAACTTACCTCCTTCATGTTCTTATCAGTGAAATTAGAATTCCTTTTTCTAGGAAGATCAATGGAATGATCCTCAATATTATTACAAAAGTTCCGTTTTTTAACATTGTGGGTTTCAGATGCCATAATCTCTTAAATACCTAGAAAACAAAATAAGCATAATAAACAGAAAATACTAAATTCAAGAGAACTTGATCATTCCTTTAAAACATAAAAAAATAGAGCCTCTCTACTCTATGCAAAAGAGATGAGTGAACCAGTTTTTCAAAATCTTAAATACAGAAGAAACACAAAGCAAGTCATTCCAAGAAATTAAGGCCCTTTTGTTCTTTCTTTAGTCTACACCAGTTACAAAAATATTGCATGCATTTTTTGCCAAGTAATAAATCAATCTTCCCAGAAAATCTATATAGTATGGCATGTGTCTATGACATGCAAATTTATAGAAGTCTAAAGTTTTAGAGTACAACAAATAGAGCAAAAATAACACACCAAGCAGCCAGAGGAGTCAAAATCAGACAACATACACCTAACTTTTCTTTGATTCTTTTTTTTTCCCTTTTTCATTCTGGAAACTTGTTCTCCAAAGCTTAGTCTTCTATTCTGCCAATTATATCCAAATGGGAAATTAAACACTATGGTTGTTTTTTTTTATAATAGTAGAAATTAGTGATTTCCTCAATTCCACTCTGGCTTACATAGGAAATCTATTTTGGGTCATGTTTTGAATATGAGTTCCTAACTTAATCTTTCTTTAAACATTTATTGAGAAATCACTATATACCAAACCCTAAGTAAATGCAGATGATGGGTAGAGATCTTGTCTATCCTACAGAATCATTTAGGAAGACTTATTTTAAAGTATCTACCTGAGTCCTAACTTTAACATCTATACATCATTAAGTCTCTGGAGTGGAGCCCAAGGCAATGATTTTTTTTAAAGTTCCAGTAATTCTGATGCACATATATAATAGAAAATCTGCCTTGAAAAATTCTCCAAAAACATGCACAAAATTTTAC